AAAATGCTGCTACCCAGCAGGGGTTCCAAGGAGGAGGTGGAGGCATATATTATGCTATATATAATGGTATGACATAATACACAGCATGCATGCACACACACATCCTACACATGCGCACCTACACACAGACACACACACACACACACACAAAGCTATTAGTCAAATTGTATTAACGGCAACAATTGGCGGGGCGTCCAGTTATACAGAATACCCATACTGCTACTTGTGGTCAAAAATCCTACAAAGTCACAGACATAGGGTTTTTAATGTTTGATATTTTTGTATCATAATCACAATTTAGATTAAAGCCATTATAAAATCTCCTATTTGTCTTACTCAATTCAAATAATAAATGAAATTGTGAGACCCTATGCAATAATCTAAGAGAGGAAGAAGTAAAATAAGAAAATGTGTGCCAGCCTAAGTCTATACATTTGGAGGAGCATGCCAGTTGAAATGTGGGTTATAGAGGTTATTGTTAGCTGCTAGATTTCATTAACTCCAGTCTTACTGCAGCACACTGACACTCCAAACTTTATCCAGGAAATGGATAAAGGGTTAGAGCTATTGTGACCAAAAGCACTAGGTCTGAATCAGAGAAAAAGATTATTTAGCTTTCGCTGGGCGGAGAGCATGTCCTTTTCTCCTACCTCAGTGGAGCTAAAGCCCTATATTCAGACTTCATACGGATCATCTTTTCTCTAGAATAAATAAAGGTTTGCAAGTCAGAACAGAGTGTTTGTTAGTCACATATCTGTAGTTGGGTTGGGGGTTGTCTAAGGACAAGAACTTAAATACTAAACTGATCTGCACTATTTGTGAGACCTGAACAAAGTAATGTGATACGGAGAACTTTGAGGCACATCTCACAGTCCAGTGTGTGACATTTAGGAGGATCTATTGGCAGAAACGAAAAACAATATGCATAGGTATGTTTCCATTAGTGTATAATAGCTTGAAAATATGAATGGTTATGTTTTTGTTACCTTACAATTAGCCTTTTATATCTACAGATGCTGCGGATCGCCTTAAATGAAGGCCATCATTTTGAACCGGCATGTTATGAACCAGCATGTTTCTACAGTAGTCCAGAACGGACAAACTAAACACTGGCTTTAAATTGGGGCGTTTGCATTTTCTGCATGTTGCATGACCACCGTAGATTGTTTCTTGGGCTTGGAAGGGGTGGGAGTTGGAATCTGCATCTACACCGCTAGATGCCACTAAATCCTACACATTGGTCCTTTGAAGAGTGAAAATACAGCCTACTAGAAAGAAGAATATGAAATTTAGTCTTTTTCTTCTTAAACACTTTCAGGGTGGCAACAGCAATAATATTCTATTTAACATATATATTTTGATTATTATATATAAAGGGAGTACATGAGCTGCATTAATTTAAAATTTCATAGCATAACACATAAGCAACCAGACATAAGTAGCACAAAAATCAGTGCTGCGATTTCAAAACATTTTATTTTACTGAAATCACAGATTCAAACCTGTCATTTCTTTCCAGCCCAGTCAAGCAGTTGTAGCATTTAAAGCACCAGCCAGTTATAAACTGGGGATTGAAGCATTAGCTTAGCCAGTCACCTCAGTCTTTCTCCCTCAATGCCTAAGGCGCTGCAGCGGTACCTTGTGCGGAGGCTTTTAATAACGCCGCTTGTTTGAATCCTGGAACAATGAGCAAGGGCTGCATTTCAGGGCTGACATTGCAGTAAAATGCCATCACATTGCCCAAAGGGCTAAACTTAACCCAACTGTGAAATCTGCTTCTTAGAGAGTGAGGGGTGAAGGATAGAAGGGAGGAAAGAAGGTAGACAAATTATTGTAGTCTGTAGGGCCAGTAGGGATGCTGATAGGTGACCATGTTGTGGTTGCTTATTGTTGTAAATTGCAAAGAGCAGAAATAACTGTTTTTGAAATTAGTATTATTACTTGTTTTTTCAATTAAGTTTTGTTAATTTGTTTTTAAAACTATGATGTGTGTATGACATAAAGTAAAGACAGTGATCTTATACAAAAAAGACAAATACCGGACAACTTCTTTCTATTTAAACCTACTACAAGTTTTTAACTCACTCTGAAACCTCTGTAAGACCATCTCAAGATCAGCGAGGAGACTGGCTATTTTTAGATTATTCTTAATGCCTGTCAGAAAAGCCAACTCACTTTGCAATATGTTTCCCTCCAAGTCCTCAAGCAAGTTTATTTATTACATTACTAAGCTTGTTCTGTCACACAACAATAAATGCAAATACAAAAATAGGGAAGCATTTTGGTACAGTCCGGCTCTAATCACAGCTGTAGCTTCACCCCTGGCCTGTTGATTGCAATGCAGCTGCGAGTGCAGCTGGGAAACCTTGCCGACCCGTGTCACAAGATGAATTGTAATCAACTGTACAAGGACATCTGGTTCTGGATGGTGGGAGAAGAGCAGTGAATAGTCTTGAAAGCATTTTTCAAAAGAGCACTAAGAAAAACTCTAGTTTGTAGTGCTGTTGGATAGATGGATCATTTTTGTAGGGGAACAAAACTGCACTGTGTCATCCAATATGTAACAATACTTCCATCTATTGTGCATCTTGTTCATTCTGGTAAAAGTAAGGGTACATTCTCTTTATTTAAATCTAACAACATGTCAGCCGGATACAGATTGGGTTTTTTCACCTGGCACCTTCCTCTAAGAGTCACTTTCTTTCTCTCTTTCTATGTTCACACTGATTCTAAAGCACACTTCAAGTAACACCATAGGATGACAGAATGATCAGACTGCACCATTTAGTTAGCGAATGGAGCCCTTTTTGCAGTAAGTGGCCAGTTTCTCTGTAAACTTGGACACCTTGTGGATTGCAGATTTACCTACTGCAGATTACAGACACGTGTACCAGTTGACCTGACATCAGGCCTGTCTGTGGCTTGAAAAGAAGTTGTGTTGGACCTTCATGAAGGTATGTTTTTTTTGTACTATAGCATTCCCAGTGGGTGGTGCTACCAGCGATAACCCAAAGCTCATATCAGAGAGTTGAGGATCAAACTGCAGCCAAGCCAGCCGAGGTAATCTGTCACACCAAGGTAGCCCCTGGGACAGTGGGTGGCAGACCACTGCTATACACAACAACATACCTACATGCTGGATCACTTACACACACATTCCTCTGTATATATAATTCACACCAATACACACACACACGGTATCCTTTAACACAAACACATGAACAGCATTCAATCCCTAAATCCCCTGAAAGAGTTCTTTTACACAGTACACAGCACTATGTTTAATTTAATGCCAATTGCTCTGCTTCTTGTATATTACAAACACACAAAAGCTCATCATGCTTGACTAAAATTTACAAGCACAAACACACAGAACAATACTTGCCATTTTAAAGATTTGTAGTATATATTTGTAGTACGATAGTATTCACCTTTCTTTTAAGTCTTGATAACATTGTTTAGGATTTGTGTTATCATAGCAAACCCTTCCACTGATCTTGCATGTACTATAACTTGAGTTACTGCTGAGTGCATCTTAGCCTTGAAACAATCTCTTTGGAATCCCTGCAGTATCTAAAAGGCCAAGACAGTACAGGACAGTTGTCTTGCAAAGAAAATAGGGGATTGAATAAAATGTATTTGACAGAAAACAGAAATTGTAATGCATCACAGTAACTGACAGAACAAGTACAAGATATTCTAAATTACAAATATACATACATGGATTTGCGCTCACACTAGTACAGCCTTAGACAGAATCAGGAAAGCTCTCTGCCATGTTATATTATTTTCCAGAGAGTTAGCAACTAGAAATAACATAGAGGAAAATGAAGGAGGGGTGATAAGGGAATAAAGAGGGCAGGTGAAAGCAAAATAATAACTTGTTTTTGTAAATCTTTGATGTATGAGAACACATATAGGTAGATAGGCAGTGCATAAAATGTATCCTTTGTAGTTGTTGTGCATTGTTAAAATCTATCTACATTGCTCAACTATCTGACTGGTTGATGCGTCAATACATATGTTAAGTAGGCTAAAGAAACAGACCTAATTGTGGGGTATTCGGTTGTTGAGAAATGTAATACCATATAGAGCGATCAGCGACACAGCAAGTAATGTAACTAATGCAGAGATGGTTTTCCAGAGCCAGCAGCTCAATGAAGTAATACTCACAACTCTCCTGATACTACAGCTAACATCACAACAACAGTATATCTTTGCAAACTAGAAAGTAAGTTGAATGTCTGTGGGCCACAGTCCGTAACACCATATTTTTTTAAGCATATACAGAGAATGGAGGCTACTGAATTTGACAAAAAGGATATATGTATTATAATAGAATTACATACCCCAGCTTTAAATAAAGGGATAGACAGGAGACATGGGAATACAGGAGTACATGGATATACAGAAAGTGTCTAATTGATGGAAGCATGGAGAAGAGATATCAGCTTCCTACTTGACAGTGCTTTTCACCTCAGTTTTCAGCAGCCAGTTTTGCTAAAAATAGTGTAACCCTCAGTTTCAAGTTCTTTACGAATACCCTTTATGTCCGTTTTAAGGTGGTAAATACTGGCAAAAACTCCTGACCACATCAACACTTGTGTACACTTCTGTGTAGGAAATATAGGAAATGATTAATTCAACAGTACAACTCAGTACAATCACTGTCAGCTTGAGGGTTTGGTTTGCACATATGAAACACCATGTTTCAAGTGGGACCAATGCTGGCAAAGAAATTCAATAATATCTAGACAGCTTCAAATAAATAAGACATGAAGTCACGGTTTGTCATGGTCAGAGGTTGGTATTCTGAAATAACTACACCCATTGACTGAAGCATATAACTGACAAGGTTCCCGACTTTAAAAAAGTGGGAGAAATCCAGTTTCTCTAACAATTTTTTTTTCTCTGTATTGCACGAGTTTCTTTAGTCTCAACAGATGCTATATTGAATATTGAAAAAGCAGTTTGAATGATAGAAAGGTTTGAAAGCTTACCACTACACGAGCCATCGATCTCCTCATACCCAACGCTGCAGACACATTTTCCCAAGGGAACCAACCAGTCTCCATCAGCTCCACAGAACAGTTTGGGTGTGTCTCGTTCTTCAGCATGGTCAATACACGCCCCCCTCACCTCGACCAATGAGGAAGAGTCCACACGAGGCACTGTGTCTGGAAATGAGGCCAGGTTCCTCAGCGTGAACGGACATTTCTTATAGTAAACCCTCACTGAAACCAAGGCAATGCAGGCACCAATGTCCTGGAATGCAAGATAGAAGCCCTTCCTGGTCATGGGTCCCACCTCGCGCACCTCTGTGTTGAGCTTGAGGATGCGATCTCCGAGATCCATCTGAGTGAAGCTCTCATCGGCAGCGATGGTGTCAATCTTGGTGTACTGCGGGGGCTTGAATTTGACACCGTGAGCCTCATCAGTCTCATGATAGAAGAGGTTAAATGTCTCCTTGCAGGTGCCAGACACCCAAGGGATGGAGTTGCAGTCACGTAGGGTGAAGCGAAGCTCCACGTAGATCTTTTGGGCAGCTTGTCGAGAGATCCAGTTGGAGCGAAGCCAGTTGTTCTGGTTGGGTTCCATCACGTTGCAAACCTGGAAAGTATGGATGGGCCGGTTGTGCTCATCCATCTCCGTGATGGCATCCCACTAAACAGAAAATAAGAAGGGGGTGGGGGATAGATGACGAAAACAGAGGGAAAAGCAGAGAAAAGGAATGTTAATTAAAGCAAAAGACCAAATTGGGTCAACAGTGTTCAACATTGATAGACAGAATGAACACCTTGCTTTTTTTACTAGTTAAAAGCTAAAGTGTAGATGAATCTGAATTCCATTGCAATCTGCCTGTTTCTGCCTATTTTGAGATACATTGTGTGTGTAGATGATGTGTTGGACAGAAGTGGGTCTAAGAAGAGTGACAGCATTTCAACAAGACCCCCAAAATGACATATGTTTACATTCAAGTGACAAAGCGCTCTAGTGGCCATAGTCATTGAATGACAGGAGGAAAAGAGGGAGTCAGGTGATGTTATTATGGTATGGAGGGTGGATGGATGGATCAACAAAACATTGGACTATTACACAGGAAACTGCTGTTCACTTCCTGTTTCCAACAGTGAACACTGTTTTTTTTTTAGCATGTTTCTAAACCTTAACCAAAGTCCATGAATATTTGAATCATGAGAATCAGAATATTAGTTGTTGAGACAATTTGCTTCTGGCCAAAATGATAGACTATTATCCTCCACACTGGCAGTGGAAAAATCATGAACAAACTGACAATCACTTTGCCTCTTATTCCTTCAAGTCTTTCTCAGTAGGTTTTCTCTTAGAATGATGCCTGACTCCAGCTGCCTAGTCATCAGCTCTGCAACTCCCAGGTCACATGATCAGGGTGTATGGCAGCTTTGCAGGGTCAAGAGGTTACCTGTCCCCATGTTGATGGGAGAGAAGTTAATGGGGGTTTTTAGCCTCCTGGTCCTGCACAGCTCTCTGGTTTTATTAGAATGGGGACTGGCTACTTGGGCGACCCCAAAACCACCCAACATCGACCTCCAAGAATCAAATTACCTGCCTGGGAAAAAGGACTCTCAAATCACTTCGCTTACAATGCAGCATTGGACCCTCCACAGGCTGGAGGGTTTGCCTTTGTGTGTGTGCGCTTTATTATTTAGACTGATATATAAACCATTTTGCTCATACTGTACATGGCTGGGGTATTATTATTTGAATTATCACTAATACATCACACACACTGACATTCTTCTAAATGCAACTTTCTATGGAAAACACTAAATACACATTTTTGGGGTATTTTCTTTAGATGTGAAAAACAAAAATATGTCTAAATTTGAAGATGTAGAATGTCAAATTAGGCATTAACCCTTAACTTTTATTTAGGGCTTTAAAAGTCCAAAGCAGACCCTGAGAGATTGTGAATGAGTTTGAGCAATGAAATCCTGCACATACCCACTTTTGCAAAGTAATACCAAACACTATAATCAACACTGTTTTCACAGAGACAAGCTGCATTTGGGAGGTCAGTTGAGGAAGTCCAAGCATTAAGCTATTAATTACCAACCAACACATTCACATAACTATCATTCTATATTTAAAAGTGAACTGACTACATTACACATATTCACACACACACACACGCACACACTTCATGTTCCCATCCGCAGGTCTGGGAGGAGAGATCCCCATTCTAATTAATGGCTGGAAAACAACTCCTTTATAGGCAAACACAGTCCAGAGAGTTGTGATAGAGCCGCTGGTTAATTTACCAATACTATTTGCCTGATAAGCTCACGCATTTAATAAGCTGTTTTGCACTTAGCTAAATATTACCTCTTGATGAGAGTAGTAATCAAAGCCTAATGTTTGCTTTCACATACTCATTATCCTTTTTAATAACATGTTCTAATTCAATCATCCAAAGACGACAGGCTTTAATCTACTCTTCCCTCAAGGTGTAATTGTAGCATTACAGTCAAACAAATTGATTTTGATTAGATGTGATATTGCCCATCGCGCGTGGGGCTATGCAAAATGAATTCTGTTAGGCAAAGTAGAGCACTACAGTAAATTTTGGTAAAATATGGTCGTTGTATCATTAAAAAAAGCCAACATTCTTTATCTAAAGATGAGAGGAATAGAGCTCTGTTAACTAAAGGTACCACAGATCGACCATCCATTGTGAGCAACTTTCAACATTAATATATCCCCGGGCGCCTACGGCTGCCCACTGCTCCTAATGTACAGGATGGGTTATATGCAGAGGACAAATTTTGTTTCCATGTATGTAAATGCTGTGAAATGACAATAAAGGCTGAAAGGCCCTGATTATTATTATTAACAATGAGTAATGAATCTTTGAATTTTAGTAAAATTTGACAAATTTCAGTCAAGCCAAAAACCGGATTCAATTTCTGGGGTCAATTAACAGCTAATTTATATACCTACATATTTTCTTTGATAGCTGTAACATCTACCATATGTCAGAGTTTTTATTTTCTGACTTCAGCATAAAGTTCAACATTATGGGAAATATGTTTATCTGCTTTTTTGTAGAGTTAGATGAGAAGATTAAAACTACTGTCATGTCTGTATGGTAAATATGAAGTTACTACCAGCAGCAGACAGGCTTAGCTCATCACAGAATGGTGAAGACTAGAAACAGGGGCAATCAGCTACCTTTGGCATTATTCTAAGGTAACAAAATCTGACTGTTAGCACCTCTAAAGCTCAGTAATTAACAGGTTTAATATTGGTTGTTTCATCCATACAAAAACCAAAGAGTTAAGACCCCATGCACAATGTTGATCTTCTTATCTTCCTCTCATGGACAGTCAGCAATAAAGCAAATAAACTTGTAAGCTTAGATTTTTTTGACAGGTTTCCCACAGTAATAATGTTACGGATCATTCGTCACAACTATTTTTTGACAGGTTCAGATACTTTAAGATATACAAAAACATACTCTCATGGACTTTCAACGACTGCAGCCTCATGAAAGCACGATTAAGTCTATTCTTGAGTTTTAAAAAAAGCTTCAGTACAGGATTTATCACAGTATCATAGTAGAAAAATGCATTTTGGAACAGAGCTGAAGTCCATCTGCACTATAGATCGTTTGAGAAAAGAACCCACCTTACACATTATTTTACCACCTGCCATCTGGAAAGCCCTAAATTAAAACATTTTGATGCATAAGCCACCACGTAGTTTGAAGACTTACAGGCATACACATATTGTATATGCATTACATACATACTCATAACATAACTAATTTTATTTTCCTTTCTTTTCCTTTCATACTGGTTTATGTCAATTAGATGCTCAGCTTGGTTTCATGCAGTGCTGATTCAGTCCACCCTTCAGGCCTTTTTAATCTGATTTAACCACTTAGTCAGCTGTTGACTTGCAGAGGTGTTTGTAGGAAGAAAGATGCATCAGCAACCATGAACTCAAAGACCTACTTTAAACAATGGCCAACTCTTCAGCTTAGGAGAGTTACAGAAGAAACTGAGTTTATACAGGAGGATAACATATCTTAGTTTAGAAAGAAATTGTTTGACATTTCAATACTGGAGACATGATTTAGGAACTGAAAAAGGTCATCATGAAAATGTGTACAGACAATGTACTTCATGTTCCTATAATGCTCGTAGAAGGGCAACCAAGAAAGCCACTGAACTTCAGTCAATCACATATCAGTAGTGAATGACTACTACAGTACTGAGCAACTCCAGTGTGTATGTATGTAACTGTATGACTGTATGAGTTCTTTTAGCACAGAGCAAGGTCAGACATAGCCCTCAGCCTCTCTACCCAGGACATTTTCGCATCAAGGCTGTTTTCTGTACTGAAGGCACTGGGTTATAATGTCTTGGTATAAAACTGAAGACATTCCTTCTATTGGACTACATTCCTTAATAACAAAGTAATGTGTGAAAGATGTGGGAGAAAGAGAAGATAGAACGCAGGGGACAAAGAGCAGATGAAAAAGAGAATGTGTTAAAAATTATGGAGGTCTGCTCTTGAGAAAGGCAGTTTTTATCTAGAGATAGAAGCAAATTACTTATGTAAGGAGACAATGGCATGAGCTAAAATGCCATTGTAGATAAACTGTGGCCTGAGACAGAAAGGTAGAGACAGAGATATCAGTGTGATTTGTCCCAAGGGGAGTAAAACAATCCATGGTGATAGGAAAACATTGCAGCTTGAATCCCCGACTTAACACCATTCACAGCTGATCTAAAGGCCTCCAAGACTTTCACATCTTGTCAGCTTGCTGATAATGTCAAGCAGCTATGTGGTGGCAGCACTTTTAAATAAGTCACTCTGCAGCTTTGCATGTACAAGAGGTGGGAATTCAGTTTTCTAAATTGTCTTACAGCAATGACATTTATTTCCTCTTAATTGACTTCGAAATAAATGGGAAATTTCAGTGACAGCATTACACAAGTTTATAGTTTCTTTGAAATCACCAACCTGACAAGACCATAGCCACTTTATTGTGTATGTGGCGCTGATATGTAATCTTAATGTAAAGTTATTTTTCAAAGTAGAAAACTTTAAGTAATGCCTTGCCTGGCCAACTCAGTCCCGGGCCATCCAGCCTTCACATGCATAATTGAAAAACGGTCAGAAAATGTGGTTGATTGATTGCAGCCTGAGACCAAGGCCCTTATAGCCCATCTTTCTCTCACATGAAAGAGAGCCAGTCATTTTACTGGCCACTCGCCCAGAGGTGAGCTCCTTTTATTAAAACTGTGAAACCCGGAGCTCTATTGAGAACAGCACTTTTAACTATAGTGTCATAACCCGCTCCACTCGTCCTCAATCGAAATTAAACATTTAGCGGTCCTAAACGGTGCCACCACTTGGTTGGGTCTGAGGTTGTAAAAAAAATAAAATAATTAAACATAATTTAAAAGTCAAATGTCCCTCTGTGTGAATGAGAGTGTGTTATGACCTACTATAAAAGAATTACTTAATAATTATATTACTGACAGAAACCAACGGGGCAGGTTAAGGAGTGGAGCTTTAAAAGGTTTACTATTAGACTGGCAGGAGACGTGTGCTCATTATGTGAAAATATTTGAATCTTTACAGATTTGTCTAACACACACACGTGTACACAT